TCTTCTTTCACCTCTGCATATTGGACTTCAGATACATTACTGGTGAATCAGCAGATTGCTTTCATCCAGGAAGCTAACAGAAATGATACGATTTTTCACTCATTTGGGACATTACTTGGTTACCTGATACCATGGATGTCATCGTTTGGGGTGCTTAACGTTAGTTCATATGCTGATAAAGTAAACCAAAGTTTTCATCCCCAAGACAAAATGGAAATATGATTAACTTGGAAAATACATATCATATAGGAGGTCAGGGTCATGAAAGGCTAATTTGAAATTTAGAAGAAAAAGAGAAACAGAACATGGAGGGTTTTGAAGCCAATTATACACTTTCAGTGTGTAGATTCAACAGAACTTTTCTTTCTTAGGACACACTAGAGTTCAAATATAATGCCATTATTCCAAATGTCATAAATAAACACATCCCAAAACACCTTTGCATTTGCTGTTTGTGTGGAGATCGGGCAGTTTTCTGCCTGTTTATCTAGAAGCTGGATCATCTGAATTTGTCAAAGAGAAGGTAACAAATCATCACTGGCAGTTGCATGGGCTTGTTAAGGGTCTAGTCCAATGACGTTCAGCTAGTGTTCCACAAGAATTTTTAAAACATGCAATACCTGACTATTTAGTCAGGCACACTGACCTCTTTTCCCTTAGGTTGTCAAATTAAAAAATGACAACAGCCAACACAGCAATAGCTGGCCAGTGTGAATGAATCAAAATTATACCTATTTTTTTTGTCAGACCAGCAAAAAATATATTTTTTGGTGTGCCGCAGAATTTTAGTAATTATTTCATGTGTGGCATGAGATGAAAAAAGGTTGAAAATGACTGGCCTAACATTACTAAATATCATTTCATGGGCATTCTAGAAAATCGAATTGTATGATATTGAAATTTATTTTATAGAGGGGCATGTTTTGCAAACTATACCAAGATACATTTTTTCTATAAAATGAATCATTCTGAAACATCTTTTATGATGTTTAGAAAGTTGTTTGGCAGCTTGAATCAAGACTTAAAAATAGTCATATTCTTTGTCCCTGTAATATCCCACGTGAAAATCTATTCATAGGAAACAACCAAATGTGGGATAAAAGGTTTAGCAAGTAGGATATTCATTGCAACCTAATTATAGGGAAAAAGGGAACAATACCAATGTCTCAAATTAGTGGTTAAATATACCACATCCTTGTATCGTAAGTCTGTGTTGTCATTAAAAATCATGTGAACTTCTAAAAATATGTATAATTCCATGGGGAATTCTATACACAATCACATTAAATAAGTTATCTAAATGTTTTTAGATATGCATATACAAATAAAAAATAAAAGACTAGAACTTGATAAACATTATTAATATTTTGGTATACCTCACCTTGGTAGAATTATGTTTCTCATTTTTAAAAATTTTTCTGAATTTTTCTAATGACCTCATGAATGATTTATTGAATTTTAAAACGTCATTTGCTCACCTGCCTCTCCTTTGTACCTAACTGGAGAGCCACCTATAAAAGGGTAGTTGTAAGGATGTGGGCAATAGAAGGGATGCCTAGCGTCTTTTCACCTCCTCCCACATACTACTTTGATGTTTGCAGATATAAGATAAGTAAATATCTTGACCCAAGGTCACCAAAAACAAACTAGCAAACAAAAACAGTATTTATGGGAGCATTACGACCTGCTGAATTTAAACTATGGCTGGAGTACCATTTCACATTTGAGGAATCATGACATTTCCAGTGAAGGTCGCAGCCAGTGTCAGCGTTTTAAAGCGATAGGAAGAAAATGGTCCCTTTAGCGTCTGGCAGATTCTGTCCTCTGGGGAAGAAGGAGTACAACACAGTAGCAGACTTGTGATGCAGCTACTGTGCGATCACACAGGAAGGCACATGTCTTGCAGGATGTTTGCACAATGTGGAACCGCAGTGATCGAAGAGGTGACCAGACTGGCCATCACAGAGCCACAGCCTTTCGAAGCATCATGTTTTCTGATACTGGGCTGAGCAGAAAGGAGCATTGCAAGGTGGAGCAGGGTGGGGAGTAGGGGGCAGAATGAAGCTGGGGAATGAGGATTGGAAAGACTCAAATTAAAATCCAACTTTAGAAAAGACTTCATTAACAAAGGAGAAAATTGAAGGTGCTATGAGGGATTCACATGTAACTGGAATTCAGCAGGCTCATAAATTCTTAGTGGGTTTCTAGCTAAGTCCTCATAGCTGTAGGGACTTAGAAAACCACTTTCTACCTGCCGCAAACTTCAAGTAGTGCTTGCTGTGGGAGCCAGGCAAACAGCTTATCCTTTCTGCGTTGCAGACTGGTATCTCTAAAATGGGCATAATAATAGTACCTAGCTCATAGGGCAGCTGTGAGCAGGTAAATAATTTAGCATAATACTTGCAGTGTTTATCAGAAACCAAATGAGTAGAAGTTCTCCCAATAGTCAGTGTTTTATATTAATGCATATTCAATCTCTCAAAAACGTAAATGCTTTAAAGTTAGGGGAGGACGTATTTCCTTAATTTTAGCTCTACTTGGAGAAAAGACAGCTATCCTTATGGCTTATTCAAGCATTAAGATCTTATAAAACTATATAATAGCTATTTAATTATGACTGACATTCTCCTGCAAAATGAAGGAGGTTGCATGGTTCAAAAGTTCCACTCTCCTAATGATGAATAGTAAGCCCAGAGTCAAAGCTATTAGTTGAAGCATTTCACTCCATCTTGCCACATTTTTAACCACTATACACTATATATATACATGTGCTATATGTATATGTATGTGCATGTGTGCAGGCAATCATGCCTGTAGGAAGGTATGCATGAGTAGGTCTAGTCAGTTTTCTTATCTGCTAGTTTCTGTGGAGAGACTAACACTAAAAATTAATGCCAAAAATCCAATGATTTTCTGAGAGGAGGGATGTTTCTCAAATGTACACACATATCCCAGTTCTCCTCTTCCCCAAGGACATGATACAGGTAGGGCATAACTTGCCAAGGATAATATGAGGGGAATTTCATTTTTGGGAACTTTACTTGCTGTTTCTAATCCCCTGCAACGGAGGCCAAATCTGTTGCATTTCCCCTCATCTCTCTGACTCACCTGACACTCCGTCCTGAGGCAAGCCACATACATCTGGCTTTTTTCCTTTCTCTGGCAAGATAAATTACTTAACTGTTGTTTGAATAGATTAAAACGCTTTTCGGATCCATTTAGGTTCCACCCACGAAACACTAACTCCCACCACAAGTGAATCAAGAGTCAGAAAATCAGGGAGAGAATTAATCTGACTACTTATAGGTATTCATAAGCCAAACCAGCCCCAGAAATGCTTCTCAGTTTGACCAAAGAAGCCACCTGGGAAAGAAATTTTTTGATAAAATTACCTGTTTGGGTAAAAAAGGTTGAACACCCAGCACTGACACACAAAGCATATATTTCATATATGTTTCACGTGTGTGTGTGTGTGTGTGTGTATCTTGCTTCCTGGGAGAACACTCTTTTTCCCTGCTCTCACCTGTGTTGTCTTCATGCAAACTGGGGAGAGTTTGTGTTCCTGCCTTGCCAGGGAGACAAGGGAAAGCGGCCTCCATGAGGCCCCACCGTCACTGCCGCCGCCTCGCGGTTCTGTGGCTCCATATTTCAGCTCATCCCGTCCTCTCACTAGATGTTGACGTCTTTCTCTTTTCTTACAGGTTGAGATATGAACGTTTTCATAGCTATGCAGAGCAATATTAAGTGCAAAGTAGGAAATCTAAGTTATAAAGATATACATTTTTATATGAAACTCGATAAAGTCGTAATCATTTTGCAAAAGAGAAACATGTGGCTGTAAACCTGTTTCTGTATTCCACGCCCCTTATTTAAGACGATGGTGATCAACACTGACCCAGAGCGCCCCCAGCAAGTTTTTCTCATTCATATTTGATGGTTCTGGGAGGCTGGCTGCCCCAAGAATCACAAGTTAAGAATTTTCTGTGTATGCTTGCAGAACTGATAACAATGTAATAAATGCAATTAGGAAGGAGAAACCACTTTTTAAAAAAAAAGGATTTAAAAAGCCAGAATGGCAGAAAGGACATAAATGGTTACAAGGGAAAATTTTATAGCAAAAAACATATGACTAAGGGGAAAAAATAAAGAATTCTTAACAATGCTAAGAGAAAGGATCTTGTGAGCCAAATTTTGAGAGAAAACTCCCATGTGAACTTTAGTGATTTTTTTCAAAGGAAATGTTGACTGACATGAGTTATATGTGACCATCCAGTGATGTTGCTGGTTTATTTAAAAGATGCACTTATTCACATTGTATCTGCGTAGCCTGTGATTCCAGCCTCATATTCCTGGTCATTTATTTACCTTTGAAATCACATCACCAATCAGTGTGGGATTTACTATCCTAATGAGTTTGTTTTGGGGTTTTGTTTTGTTTGTTTGTTTGTTTTTTGCATAGTCATTAAGATCTTGATGCTATTACTCTTCCTCTCCGAACCTAAAACACATAGCCAGGAAAGCCTGTCTGTACTCTATTTAGAAAGCGGGTGTTTAATTAGTGCCACTTCTATAAATGCGCCATGTTTAAAGCGATTGCATTTGTTACCCATCACCTTCAACTGTACCGTTAGCAACTCAATCACTCTTCCACATCAGCTATCATTTATGTCCTATTAGCATCAAGAGGAAATGAAATGAAGTCACACCCATCTAATTTCTTCTTAGGACTCTCACGTGTAGCTGTTATATTGATGTTGCTTATTTGTCATGTGGGGCATTATTAAAAAAAGAACAAACGATTAAGTCATGTTGTATAAGGTGGTCCAGACACATCCTTCCAGTCTTCTATGTCACACCCATACTTCACCACAGCCTCTGGAAGAACTGCACTAAACCTAGGCATCGCATTTTATAATTGTGTTGCTTCTTGGACGCATTTGCCAGCTAAGATTTTTCTCCTCTTTTTTCTTTTTCATTTTTTTCTTGAATATCCTTGGCAGGTACAAAGCACAAAACTATGCTAGAAGCCCGGAATGGAAGTGGGACTATCAAAGCCTTTCCGAGGGCAGGTGTGAAAGGCAAAGGACCAGTTAATAAGGGAAACACAGGCCTGCAAAACAAAACATTTCACTGTGAAATCTGTGATGTGCACGTCAACTCCGAAACACAACTTAAACAGGTAGGCCGCATATTCTAGAAATGAAAATGGAGGGGTTCATCTTCCTCAGCGAGATGTCTGTGCTTTCCTTAGTCCCTTTCCTTCTATATTTTTCTCTCATCTCTCCATCCCTTTATCCATTCATCCATCCGTCTGCATCCAACCATTCACTTATCTTCTGTTCATTGTGCTTGTTTATGTATGTTTATGTTATTTAGTTGCTCAGGAATACTAAAATGTGATGGCTTCTCAGACCTGTTAGACATTATCTGAAGTTGAGTTCGCACCACTTGTATATATGAAAGGTGGCAGGAAACATACATTAGATCTTTTTCCACCAGGTTTCCCACTCAAAAGTGTTGCTTTTATTTAAAGTACAAGTCACAATCTTCCATTATTACTTGTTTAGATATTTACATGCTAACTTTACCCTGTGCTATCCTTTTATTTTATGTCCTTGATTATATGGTGTTATACTCTATTTCTAAATTGTGCAGCCACCTGTTGAAAAGACGACCGATCCTGCTGTATTTACTTTTACTCTGAGTAGTGTTACAAAGAGATCAGTTCTGTTTCCACTTGAAGGCCCAGCCCTCATATTGTGTTGTGTTTTATATGCCTATGGACAATATTCTGCTGATTTTGTGCAGCTTAGCTATTTATCTTTAGAATTTAAGGGGTTGACACTTGGCTGTACAAATAAGAGGATAAATATTAGTGTGGAGATCAATTCATGTCTGCCTGGGCATCTTTGTTTATCTGCACATAAAAATCTTTCCTACTTTCCTATCTTTATAAACTTCTAAGAAAAAAAGGAATTCTGTGCAATGATAAGGAGAAAGGCTAGGGAAAAAAAACCTCCTCTATTAGAATATATACTAAAGTGGAGATCATAAAAATACGTATTCTCGAGGCCTGAGAATCCAAGGACAAAAGTGCATGCTTTTGTATATTTGTCTTTCTGAAACTTGCATGAAATAATTCATATTCTTCCCCAGATTAAAGCAAGATTTGTGAGGACTTTTTTGGTGTGAATTTTCTTAAGCTGTTGTTTCTCATTGCTTTTCACAGCACATTAGCAGTAGAAGGCACAAAGACAGAGCTGCTGGGAAGCCCCCCAAACCCAAGTACAGTCCTTACAACAAACTCCAGAAGGCAGCACATCCGCTGGGGGTGAGTGTGGTCTTTGCTTCCCACAGTCTGCTGAGCCTGGACTTTTGTCACTTACTAAATGACATAAATGCGAGGTACCTAAGTAATGACAGACAATTGATTTGAGAGTCCGACCTCCACATCACCAACAGAATTAATAGTTTAATGAGCTGGGCGGGGGTGGGGGGTGTTTTGCCGCCTGTAACCACATCCCAGGAGCTTCTCCTCTTGAGTTGAGCTCAGGTTTATGACAGAGCATGGGGAAGGGAGAAGGGAAGGGAGAAGAGCCAAAATCTTTTGAGTCAGGTAAGTAATCACCTAAAATCTGGTCTTGAAGTTAGTGGATATTTTTAAGAAGGAACATCCATGAAAATCAAGTTTTGTTTATCTCTTTTTTTACTATCTTCAAGAGACAAAGCATTGGTGTTATTGTTACCCTCAAAAATATTTTGGATTTGAGTAATACAGCCTCAAAGGCATGGCTTACTTTATTTAATGATTCACCCACGGTCACTGTATAATGCCTGGGAAGCACTCCCTGGGAAATGCTCTTTTCCCATTACTTTATATGTGCTTTTAGATTACTAAACATCCTAGTACTTTTAGATTAGTAAACATACTAACTTGGAATTTTTGTAAGATTTTAGGGGAGATCTGTGAACCCCTTGACATCTTAAGCTAATATTTATAAGCATGCAGTCTTTTTTTCTGGTTAATTGTACCCTGGTCTCTTTCATCAGAGATCCAGACACAATGAAAAGTTAAGAACAACTGATACACAATATGTCCTGAATTGTGCATTTCGAAGTGTTTTCGTCAACATAGACCTTATTTATAGAGTTGACCCTTCAACAACATTGATTTGAACTGTGCAGGCCCACTTCTAGGTGAATTTCAATAAATACAGTTGGCCCTCCGTATCCACAGGTTTTGCATTCATGGATTCAATCAACCTCAGTTCAAAAAGAATATTTTCAATCCACAGTTGGGTGTCTTCTTCAGAAGGGGCGGGCAGGGCCAACTGTAGTCAAGTTTTGGGGCAGTTAAAAGTTACACAGGGATTTTCAGCGGCACCTGGGACAGTTGGCAGCCCTAACCACCTCCTAGCATTGTTCAGTGGTCAACTGTAATTGGTGCTATTGTGTGCTGCTGACACAGGAAAATACAGTTAAGGGAAAACTTCAATCATCTCTTAATGAGGACTAAGTATGAGTTGACCCAATTTTATGCAAATGAAATCACTTTACTCAAAAGCAATTTTACCTGCGTTCAGAGACTGTGAATTCCGCTCAGAGCTGATGTTTCGGCATCTCTAGTCATACCTTGAGCGCTGTCTCTGACCAGTAGAGATGCTGCCTTCCACAGTCAACGGAGTGGTTGTCAAATAGACATACAAGTCAACTTATGATAGTGTTAGCGCCCAAAACCTCCTTAACTATAAATGTGTCACTGTTTCTGTAAATGGGAACATCTGCATGCAAACAGCCATCTTACTGTGCTACTAGCCAGAGAGAACTGGTTTTGTCAGTAGGCTTGACCTAATGTTGTTACCATTCAACAAAGATGAAGCAGGACACGTCAGACTTTTTGGAGCAATAAGTTTACTTCTTTATTGAAAGTGGAATTTTGTTTTTATTTTTCTTAATTAGTTCCACACACCTCTCCATTCTACTCAGTCACACACTTGCAAAGCCTACAATAACTGATAGCATTAATGAATCTCTCTTTAAAAATATTGGTTTTGTGGTGGAGTAAAAATTCCCAGTTTTTTTCTGAAGATGAATACTTTCCTCAGGAAGTATATGTATCAAGAAAAATAAAATAAGGTTGCTGAGTGCTTTTCTAAAGAACTTTTCAAAACCCTAACTCGGCCATTTTCAGGAATCTTCCAAGCCTCCCGAAAGAAAGATGTTCTCTACAGGTCCTATTATTTCTATTGTCAGTTCACAGTCAGGACCTTATCTTCATAGTTGTTTACTGCTCTATTGAAAAAGCTACCCTACCATTTTGCATTCTAAGTGTAGACTCCAAAACGTTTGTCCTTGTAACTCTTTCTTTCCCCTCCCTTGCAGGTAAAATTAGTCTTTTCAAAAGAACCTTCAAAGCCATTGGCTCCACGAATTCTACCAAACCCGCTGGCCGCTGCAGCAGCCGCTGCAGCCGTGGCCGTGAACTCCCCCTTCAGTCTCCGAACTGCGCCCGCGGCCACTCTGTTCCAGACGTCCGCACTCCCACCCGCGCTCCTGCGGCCAGCCCCAGGACCCATGCGGACCGCCCACACTCCTGTGCTGTTTGCTCCTTACTGAATTCCACGTGGAGTCGTTGTACTGCAATAATTTTTCAAAAAACAAAAAACAAAACAAACAAAAGAGAACTATGCAGTGTTTATTTATAGTTTAAAGTATATCTGAAGAGCCAGGACTTTTGATAGTGAATTGAAAAAAATTATTAAAAAAAAAAGGAGGGAGGTCGGGGGAGGGTGGGGAGGGATGGTATTTTCTCCAAATTAAAGCATTCCTCTGGAACATTGGTTGTTTTAGAAGTGATCTCCAGCATTGACTCGTAGTGGTATCTAGAACTTCTGAAGCCTTTGTGACTGTGCTTTTGGGGCACCTGTTTCCCTCTGCATTGTCTTTCCTGCTTTATGAAACAATTATATATTGTCTAAGGGCATTAACTGGTTCTAATGTGTATATAATAATTCACCCTGTAGGTTAAAATAATACAAAAAAAAAGAGAAAAAAACAAAACAAAAAACAAAGCAACACTGTGAATAGTAGTATCCGTGCTGGTCCTCTCGCTGTGACAGCAGTTAGTGGGCGTTTATCCCAACAGAAGTAGATGCAGTAGATGTCTTGTCAAACAATAGTGCTGTGTCTCAATCTATGCCACTAGGTTTTAAAGAATTGCAAAAGGTAGAACGAACAACTATTTCATGCCAGTAAGCAGTCAAAAAATGAGCAAACACGTAATGGTTTTGCAGAGGTCTCCCTGGTCCATGTTCTCCCCCGCCTGGGCAGCTCGGAGGTGACTTCAAGTTCAGAGCAATAGAACAGGACCAAGCAGAGAGGTTGGGGAGATATTAATAAAGATGATTTCTTACAAAGTACCATCTTATCACCCTAAAACAGTATTGTCAGAAATAGGGAAGTGTTTGTAGTGAACCTATATCTGAAAACAGGTAAAACCATGCATCATTGGTGTTTAAAAAGAAATTAGTACAACTCTTCAGTTTCATGGATAAGGGACAATCATAAGCTAGGATGATAATGCAAAGAAAAGATTTTTCATGTTAGTTAATATCCAGTAAAAACAGAATATTGAACCTCTGCAATATCCCTTTATATCATACCAGTAGGGTTGTCTCTTAGGCAAAGGTTTCTGCTTTATGATGATAGGCATTAGCTATTGTTGTGGGTTTTCTTTTCTTTTTTTTTTTTTGCTTTCCTACTGACATGATATAAACAATTAATATATATTTAAATGTTAACTCAGAAAAATAATTCTGGGTTCATTGCAGACCAAGGATATATTGTTAAGAAAAAATACTGGTAAGATGCACTTGACCGTCATTGCTCTAGTGGAGTTGTAAAATACCGACAGCCTTTGATGTCCACCATAAGGTGGAAAGGAGTTGATGTTTTACCTTTACAACAAGATTTATCAGGGGTATATATAAATATATGTATATTGTATATATGTTAGAAAGATTAAGAGAATAACTTATAAAAAGAAAATCTATATAAAATAATTATATAACCATCCCATGTTACATGTTATCATTAAGTTGGTAACAAATGGCATAAAAATAGCTGTGCCTTTAATTTGTGATAAAGGCTATTTGCTTTTTCCCCCAGAAAGCAAACCTGTACCTGTCACTATGATGGGGTTTGATGCAGCCAATCTGTCGCGTTAATAAGAACAATGGCAGTCAAACGTAGAAAAATGATAAGAACATGTACAAATCAACCCTACATGATTTAGGTTTAAAGAAAAAAAATATTTTTGAAAAGGTTTTGTAAAGACTATTTAAAAACGTAGGGAAGGGCTGGGTATGGCCTTCCTGAAACTGCTCTTATCTAAACTGTAGTAACTTTTGAGAGATATAAAGAGGCAAGATGAAACCATTGGAGAGAGAGGTATTTAGCATATGTCATTTTATATTTAAGAAACACCCATAGCGTGCTTGGTGCTCAACATGAAACATGGTCTTTGGAGTTCTTGTCTACCATCTAGCTATAGACCTTTGTCATATAAACATATCTTTAAAGCAGTTGGCTTTGTATATCTTTTGTTAGACAAACAACCAAAAAATAAAGACGGGGAAGAAGGGAGGAGGGCAGGCAGGCAGGAAGAAAAAGAAAAACTATTAATATTTTATCAGTCTTTGCTAAAAAGAATTTTAAACTATAGACACCGTGCTTACACAGGTGGGTTAGCATTAACATTTGTATTTGAGAGTATCTGGTGACTTTGCATTTACCAATGTCTCTCCTCTTTGGTCTTAGCAAGTGTGTCCTGTGTTTGCACCATGGACTCTGCTAGTACATCAGGTAGAGAGTTCCTTGAGAGATTGTTGTCTGGGGTTCTGTCTATATCTCGTGCATCCATCTTCAGACCGTTTTGAACTTGAGTTTCCTCCTTCTGCTTTGTCAACTTTTATCTTTCACTATACGTCAGCCTGAATTCTTATCCAGCCACCTACACCTGATAAAACCTCTCTTTCTGTTGGGGAACTTAGTGTTAATCGATGCAGTCTCACTACAGTGTGCTTTTGCTGTTCCTCCCCGTTTTCGCCACCGTGAACGAGCCAGGCCCCTAGAAGTCAGGGCCTGTGGGTTACAAGAATCCTGGATCACAAGGCGTTACTAACTTTAATGATTTTCTGGGAACAAACAAATCAGCCATATTTTCTCCATCAGCCATATGAGAAAACTCAGAAATACGTCAATCCCTTCTGCCTCACTTCACTATGGAACCATTTTTGTTGAAATGGTCTCTTAAATTGGAGTTGTAATCATCAGTTGTCTTTTACTCACTACCTAATAAAGGATGAAGCCTAACCTTAGAACTTACAATGGATTCTCTGTGAATTGTTTCCCCTCACTCCACATATCTATCAACACCAGATCAGCATCTACTGGAGTTCAGACAGGTATAAAGCTATATTCTTTCCCTGAGGGAACTTCCTTCGTGAAAAAAGATGAATAATTCGGATTGGTCAGCAGTGGTGCTCTGAAAATCCCCAAGGGTGGTCTGACTTTATGGATATACATGTATATACATCCCTTCCCATGCATCACACCCAATGACAAGGAAGTGATAGAGAAAACATCTCTGATTTCATTTGGAACAAATATAAATGCATTGCAAGAGTCAAATGCCTCTGGAAAAAGCATTGTTGCACCTCATCCAGATCATCCAGACAAATGGGAAACAGTTGTTGGGGAGGTGCTGTATTGCTCTTTAGAGAAAACAGGTGATTACAGATGACAAATTGCTCCTCTCACTGGTCCTAAATTTTGAAGAGTGGTTGTTTTATGCATATAAGCAAACACAGGTGGCCTTTGGCAATTTATACTATCACTGCCTCATCCAATAGGATCGTGATCTTTGGGTATTCTTGGGTTTTCTGTCATCTATTGTAATAATTCGCTTCTGTTATCATATATGTGTATGTGTGCAGACACACACACACGTTTTTTAAAGGTGCTACATATTTTTCTGCCAAGAAACTATTTAGCCAAGAGAGTGTTTATACTCAAAAGAGCAGTAAATCACTAAGCAAAGGATTGAAAATTAAAATACAATGAAGTTTTAAAAATAGGATCAAAGTTTATTGTAGGTATGCCCATGTAAGTTTCTAAGGAATAGAACCAATACATAGCAAACATGAGCATTAAATTTCACTTACAATTAAATTTTAAACTCATATTTGTCTCAGTACACATGTAATATTTCAGCTTTCCTGAAGAAATCAGATTACAAAGCTAAAAGATGACTCAAGTGATGGAGAGACCTCTTCCTTCGTCTGAATTGGTGTATAGAACTACCTTTCAGTTCATAAACCTGGATAACATCGTATTAATAACTAATTATATACAGGAAACATTATAAAGCAGTAGGGAAAACAGTGAGCTTGAAAGAAGTCAAAGTCTGTTGTTAGACTTTGTCTCTGACCAGCAGGGTAACTATTAAAGAGTCATCTAAAGCGTTGTCCTTAATTGCTTCATGAGTAATACAGATGACAGTGAATAAAAGCTGAGCTGGTTTACTATGTCTGCATTTAGAGGACCACTTCTCTCATCCTCTCAGGAATAAAACTGCTCCCTTGTAGTGAACCATGCAGCTCTTCACATATTTGGCATGTGTCCTGAAAAGTGTTGTGTATTCCTTTTCATCCTGAGTATATACCACACAGTAGGCTATTCTGACTAATCGTAGATTTCACCACCAATTACAATTACCATAGAAGGTGCTATTTCATGATGGACTTACAACAAAGTCATGAAGGATACACTGTATCTCTTTTCTCAGTCTTAGAACACAATGAACTCTGAACAAAACAAACCACAATGAAAGCAATAGAAATTTGGCCATGTGGGTGTGGAAGGGAGCAACAAATTTAAATGCTGCCCTCTTATTCCTTTGGTTGAGCTTTCCCCCTACGGTACTAGTGGGCCCCTTCATTAATTATGCCCTGGTTTTGCAGTTGTTTTAGCTAATGGCCACATATTAAGACCATGCGCCCCACAGCCAAAGGATAATTAGTTATATCCTCTCTCCATTGTTAATAGCAAGAATTCAGGCATGCCTCAGTTGACTGCACTTCACTTTATTGAGTTTCACAGGTGTTGAGGGGGGTGTTGTGTTTTGTTTTTGTTTTGGATATTTTTTTTTAACAAATTGAAGCAAGACCCTCCACCAGAAAAGGATTAGGGTTTGCTTTATCTCCAGACTTGCTTTTATGGTGGTCTGGAACCAAACAGCCGTACCACCGTATCTCGGAGATGTTCCTGCACCTGCTTTGTTGCCGCCATCTGGAAGCACACCTGCCCTGTCTCTAAGGTATGCGTATCCTGGAATGCAGTACTGACAGTGAATGTTTTACATATCGATTGCTATTGGTTTTCATTAAAAGGACAGGCATTTTTGGAGTGTCTCAGCTGTTCTTTGTAAGGTATTCGTCAGTAACTACAGAGGCTGCCACTATCAGACACTGAAATGGATCATTTATATGGCAAGTCTCCATTGTCTACTTACTGTATCTGAGAATGATATCAGGGCTTCCAGTGAAAGACAGATATGTGGAGATATCCTCCTCAAGAGGCCCATAAGGTTTTTATTTCCGGAAATGGATTTATACCTTACCAGAACTATGAATGGTGAAGGGAGGCAAGTCTGCACTGGAGAA